TACACCTTCTCCGAATATCGAAACGTTTCCATGCCCTCATGTGCGTGCGCGAAACCGTTGGTGGGGTTTTTCTTCAATAATGGAGTATCCACCGTTTTATTATGAATGAATGAATGAACTAAACATGAACCAACTTCCAGTGCCGGGATTATATCGATGTGGATATAAATATTTTATTATTGCATTTTGACTTGAACGTAAAACATCAACCAATTTCCAGTCCCGGGATTGTGTCGACGCAGATATAAATATTTTTTAACTACAGTAAGACTTGAACGAAACATGAACCAATTTCCAGTACCGGGATTGTGTCGATATTAAATATGGCTACTGCGTCCGCACACCGTAAAAGTGCTTATACAAGAGAAAAGTATTGGAAGATAATGGTAACGGCAAACATTTTACACTTTGAATATCGGGTTAAAAATGTGAATAGAAATTATCAGTGTCATTTTTAATTGTAAATTTATCAAAAGTTTCATTAAATGTGATTAAAATGTAACCCGATATTCAAAGTAATAAGTACTTGCCGCTAATACTATAGGCGAATGCTTTCCTCGCGAAAAAGCCTTTAAAGCGTCACAGTCATGTCAGGCCAAAGCTGCTCGATATAATTGGAACAGCGTTTGCATTTCTTCAAAGTCCGAAATTACGGCAAAAAATCGATCTTTTATATAAATGATTCTTTGGTTAGAATTTTTAATAGCGAGTAAAGACCAGCATAAATGTTATTATCAATGTTTTTATGGCTTGACTTTTGTTATAAACAATAGAAAACATTAATTTTCCTAACATGTTTCTCTGATCGTATATTCTAAACGTGTAATTTTTAATGTAAACAAGTGTAGCAAACAAGTGTAGTGTAAACAGGTCCTTAATTTTAAGGACCTGTTTTGCTTATTTCGAATTTTGTACTAATTTAAGAGAAAAAATGTATACAACATGAAAAATCCTCCAAATTAAAAAGCGTTTTTCTATTTAGGTGTTCAAATTCACTATAAACGGCATTATTTCTAGAGTGTTGAAATAAAAATTTTTATTCCTGACATTATATTGAACACCTTATTTATTGCTCGTTTGTTTGTTCAGGCTCATATCTTCAACGTGACAAAACTATAAACGATTTTTTAAATAAAGATCCAGAAACTAATTTATTTAAATATTCCACGACGGTCACGAAATAACTAATGGCTTCAGAATAGTTCAGTTGCTCAATTTAATAGTATAAGTAACGTTGAACTGAATAATCTCATGGATAAACAGAATAAAGAGGAAAAATAAAGCGGCCTATAAAGATAGTTAAATGCTCGAGAGAAGAGGCGTTTATCATTTGGCACCCTTAAAGCAAATGACGTCTGCCAGAAAAAAAATTAATGTTTATTGGTAAACCATTACAATAAATTGAACAAATTTCCATAAGCCGGAAAATTTTTTCGGGAATGGGACACAATCAATTCCCGTAAAAGGAAAATTAGTTCGTTAATTGGACCTAAGAAATTTCCGTAAGCCGTAAAATTATTTCGTTAATTGGACAAAATAGATTTCGATTAGGAATCATATATCGGATTAATGTTGAAAAAACGTGGTTTCTACGAAATAGACTAGTGATGACCGTCGTTTGAACGTCATACAGCATAGAAGGATCATTTTTCCCTTACACTTTATCCCTAAATTTTTCCCTTACACTTTTGCCTTACATTTTCCCTCACGTTTTTCCCTTAAATTTTCCCTTATACTTTTCCCTTACATTTTCCCATATACTTTCCCTTATACTTTTCCCTTACACTTTTCTCTTACACTTTTTTTACTTTTTTCCCTTACACTTTTCCCTTACACTTTTCCCTTATACTTTTCCCTTACACTTTCCCTTACACTTTCCCTTACACTTTTCCCTTACACTTTTCCCTTACNAGGTGCGGTATGTGCCCTGAGGCGCGGTATGTGCCCTGAGGTGCGGTATGGGCCCTGGGGTGCGGTATGGGCCCTGGAATGCTATGGGTTATATGGGAGTTTGAACATAAATCTGACTTCATTAAAAATTTAACCGACTGTATTAATGAAAAAACTATTCGAATTCTGACTGATTCTTTTCCCAACAAAATCTTGTTAGTTGACTAGAATTTGCATGATGTTCCAGTAGCTCAATTACCTTCAAGTATTTACTTCGAATTTTCCCATTTGTATTTTACTTCGAATTTTCCCATTTGTATTTTACTTTGAATTTTCCCATTTTGTATCTTACTTTGAATTCTCCCATTTTGTATTTTACTTCGAAATCTCCTATTTTCTATTTTACTTTGAATTCTCTCATTTGTATTTTACCTCGAATTTTCCCATTTTGTATTTTACTTTGAATTCTCCTATTTCGTATTTTACTTTGAAATCTCCTATTTTGTATTTTACTTTGAATTCTCCCATTTTGAATTTTACTTTGAATTCTCCCATTTTGTATTTTACTTTGAATTCTCCCATTTTTTATTTTACTTTGAATTCTCCCACTTTGTGTTTTACTTCGAAATCTCCTATTTTGTATTTTACTTCGAATTCTCCCATTTCGTATTTTACTTTGAAATCTCCCATTTTGAAATTTACTTTAAATCCTCCCATTTTGTATTTTACTTTGAATTATTCTCCCATTTTGTATTTACTTTGTATTCTCCCATTTGGTATATTACTTTGAATTCTCCCATTTTATATTTTACTTTAAATTCTCCATTTTGTATTTTACTTCGAATTCTCGTATTTTTTATTTTATTTTGAATATTCAGGCAGTAGACCGGCTGCGAGCAGTGCTGCAGACTAGAGAAGACCAGGCGCGGGCTCTGGTCAGACCGCTGGAGGAAGACAAAGCAGACCTGCAGAGGGAGGTGCAGCAGCTGCAGACTCAGCTGCAACGCAGAGACAGGTGACCACAATTTTAACAGACACTTTTGAAACTAAAATAATGTGAATAATTTAACATTGCTTTCGTTTAGAAGACATCCTGCTCCACTTCTATAATACGGCGCTAGCATCAAAATGTTGGCAACACGTTTAGCTCCCCTTTCAATAGCATCAGCATGTTGGCAACATGTTTAGCTCCACCTTCATTAGCATCAACATGTCGGCGACACGTTTAGCTCCACCCTCAATAACATAAACATGTTGGCAACACGTTTAGCTCCACTTCTCAAACACGGCGCTAGCATCAACATGTTGGCAACACGTTTAGCTCCACCCTCGATTCTCGTCTCTCAGATCAACACGATAATCGGATAAATCAGATTTTTATACTTTAATTTACGCTAACTAGACGAATTACAAATGTATGACTTAAGACGAAATTATAATCCATTATTGATTATCAGTGAGCAGCTTTCAAAATAGACGTGAATATACAATATATTTTTGACAGTCTCTAGAATTCAATGGAATAAATTAGACAATTTGAATTTAATTTCAAAAAAGATACCAAGTGATGTTAGATGAAATTATTATTCATGCCTATTTCAAAATAATTAATACTACAAAATCTAAATAATCATTTTCTGTAATTCAAAAGAATAAACTAGAAAATTTGAAATTTATTTCAAAAAAGATCGCAGGTGATACTAAATGAAATTATTCATTAATCCTATTTTAAAATAATTATTAATACAAAATTTAAAGAATCATTCTCTACAAGTCAACAAAATAAATTAAACATGTGAAATTTATTTCAAAAAGATCACGTGTGATACAAATTGAAATTATTTATTACTCATGTTTTATATATGTCTTGCCGAAATAACGGAATTGCCGATTCCATGGAATCGGCAGCCAGTTTGCTGAATCTGTGGAATCATCATTTCTATACTTTAGGAATCTGGGGTTATTTCAGTCAGACAACTTCTTTTTTCTTTATATATTTAAATATAGAGCAACTTGACCGAACTTGACCTAATATTTTCTAACTCTAACTGCCGATCTATTTAACTCTAATTTATAAATGCTCTAAAAAAACTTTAAACTAATAAATAAAATAAAAACTCTAATTACTCTAATAATTTTTAACTGATTTAACTCTAACGTCCGATTTTCTGATTCAGCAACAAAATGCTGATTCTACATATTAGGCAAACTGGCTGCCGATTCCATAGAATCAGCGATTCCGCGATTTTAGCACCACATATACATTTTTTGCCTACGTTTAGCTATATTGCAGGACGATAACAGACCTACAGATTTTTGCCTACGTATATTGCAGGACGATAACAGACCTACAGATTTTTGTAAGAGATTCGTTAGTTTCATCAGAAAATCGTCGAGATTCTATGTTAAGGAAGAGCGCTTTATGTTACAGAGCCTGAGTTTTATATTATAGAGTATGTTATTGAGGATTTTAAATGAAATGTAGAAAAAATTGTGAGTAGTTCAGAAATTACATACAACCACATTAGCTTAACATGAGTAAGTGGAATAAAATTAGGCGAAAAGATAAAAAATATAACTCAGTACTCACTGCAGTGAGTGACAGGGAGCGCATTTTCTCGTCGACGAAAACGTGAAGTCACGGACGGACAGACAGACAGACGGACAGACGGACATGGCGAGCACAATAGCGTCTTTTTTGCATAAATGATAAAATGCGCTAAAAATGGCGTCGTCAATCGATTGCATGTCTCTGAGTAAGAAACATGAACGCTGCACTTTAGCGCGACTGCAGCAATACAACAACAAGTCTCATGTATAATTACCTGCATAAAAGTACTCATCGCAAATATTCATACAAATGTTTTGCGTATAAGAAGACAACTTTTTTTATCTATACATAAGATTCAGGGGGCACTGCACCTTCTAAGCCCGCATAACTTTTGTTTTCCTCGCTATTTATGAACTCCCTGTCATAGATCAGCTTATCAACCACATCATAATAATATCCATAGGCCAGGAAAGGAACATTTGATCTTGTGAGAAGCACCTGTTGTTTCAGGTCGTATGGTTAGCGTATAAATACGGAGTCCATCATCCCTCTAGCTCGGTTTCTCGACAAGCGTCTTCAAGGTAAGTTGGGTTGTGATAGTCCAGCACTTCTATTTGCAATATATTAAGTATTATATATTAATATTCATCATTAATAGTCTTGCTATTCTAATATAAAACCATTTCTAGAATATTCGTTCAGTAATTGGGTTTGAATATTGTTACAAATATTCACAAATCTCGCACCCATATTTCATTTCGTTCGTTTATCTAAAAAATGTATTTAATAGCTTTTCTACTCTAATTGAAAATGATTTATAACTAATCGTTCACAATTGGTCTTGCATATTATTTTTAATATTCACATATTGTGCACCCATATTTGATTTTTTTCGTTTACCTAAAAATATGAATTAAAATTAATTATTACAGGTTTATTCCTGCCATTACAAACTCCTGACGTCCGCTCCACGACTGCGCTGACATTATGGCTGCCCCAGTCCTCGCCGTGCTGGTGCTGACGCTGCTGTCAACAGGTGCATTTTATTATATTATCGTTATTAACCTGATATTTTATATTACCTGTTATTTATTAAAAATAACAGGTGAATGTTATTATCTTATTATTTAACCAGTTATTTATATTACTTGTTATATATTAAAAATAGCAGGTAAATAATATTATCTTGTTGTTATTAACCTGTTAATTTATATTACCTACTATTTTTATTGAATTTTTTATTTCATTTTTATATTACCTGTTATTTCATTCCAAATAACAGGTACATTTTACTATATTACTGTTATTAACCTGTTATTTTATTTTACCTGTTATTTTTATTTGATTTTTTATTTTATTTTATATTACCTGTTATTTTATTACAAATAACAGGTACATTTTATTATCATTCTTGCCTGTTTTATTTATTGTCACAATCATGTTAAAACGGTGTTCAAACGACTGTTGTTTTTACTGACGTTGATGCCATTGCTGATCTCATTGTCAATTTGTATATTGTTTCCTTTCGCCAAATAAAAATATCACTAATATTCCGCAACGTTGAAATAATAAAAAATTATATTCACATCTTACTCCACTATTAAATAACAATAATAATAAATATATAATAATATATGTAATTAACAGAATGACGTAATATAATATGTTAACATCACATAATTATAATATGTAACGTAATATCGTTACAATATATTAATATTATGCAATAATTATAATATATTAAGGTAATATCATTATAAAAAATTAAACTAATACAATTTCTATATATTAACAGAGTATAATTCTAATATATTGATGGAATATAATTTTAAAAACTTTCAACTTCACAGGGATTCTCGGAGAACACTTCATGACTGGCAACGAGCTGGACAACGACTTGCAATTTCAAAAAAGAGTCTGTACACTTTATGTTACAATAATATTTAATGTATCTCTTTAATTTTCACGTACTTCAGTTCATTTAACATAATATTTTCCTTATAATATATCAAAAAATATCGCTTACATTCTCAGAAATACGATCGTTACTGTTAATTTCGTTATGATCCAGATGAAAAGTTTTCTGGTTTTTGAATTTGAAAATTATATTTTCAACAAACAAAATATTATGAATTGTAGATTTACGACACTGGCCAATATTATATAATATTAATCCTTTTAATTAAATGAAATATTTGTCTTAAATAAAACAGGAATAGCTTTTCTTTCTTCTATCAGCTAACGCATTTCTCTCACACCTTTGAAGCTTGTCACACTTTATATTAGTTTTGTTCAACAATTTATTCATAGTCGCCTTGACAACTTATTTATTCGATAATAATGAAAAATTGTATTCAACTGACCTTTCTAAATTTTTTGCAGAGTTGTAAACTAAATTATTTTTAAAAATGAATGAAATTGAAAATTTTTGTTCAACTCTATCTAATTTTTTTGCAGAGTTGAGAAATAAATTACTTTTATATGTATGAATGAAAGCAGTAAAGTGATTCTTGTTCTTCATAGCCAAACTTCGATTTATTCATGGTCCCTTGACAACTTTTTTACTCAATAATAATGGAAATTTTTGTTCAACTGAGCTCTTTCTAATTTTTTTTGCATAGTTAAAAAATAAATTAATTTTAAACATCAAAAAAGCACTAAAAGAATTCTTGTTCCACACAGCCAAACTTCGTGTATGAGAACGCTGAGCGCTGCATGGCACTAGGCGGAGTCTGCACGCAGAGCATGCACTGTCTGCAGAGTTATGAAGACTCTGGGCTGTGTGGGTCTGCACCTGACATAGTCTGCTGTGAAAAGTGTACGTGAATTTTTAATTTAGTCATAATTATTCACGTGAAAGATTTCGTTAGGAGAGGCAAATGTTCTTTTAACCAAAGTTTGTTTACTCCCACGATCGCCCCGGAAAAAAACTAGTCAGAGTTGCAGTAGGACACAAAATTGGTCACTATTTAAAATTGGTCGCAAAATTGGTCACTATTTAAATATGGTCACAATAGAATTGGTCACAAAATCGGTTACTATTTAAAATTATTAAAAAAAATCCTATGAAATTGGTCACAAAATTGGTCACAATTTAAAACTAACACCAGGACGAGTATATTCATTTTATTCTTCATCATATCAGAGTATTAAGAAAGTATATGAAAAATAAAATCACTTATAGAATATAAATACAATTATTACCCATTTCCACCGCACTTAACATTTTGCATGGATATATATTTTGCTACAATACTTTTTTTCTGTAATTTTGTAGCGACCCTTGATGTATGTCTTCACTTATCCAGAATTCACACTAAAATTCAAGTTATTCAATGAGATAAGAAAAAAAGGGTTTGAAAATTCGAGTGTCTTTAAGGGTATGGAGCATCAAGAATATATTAATGCCTTTGACTTAATTTTTCGTCATAATTTGTTTAGTAAGCCTTTAATTGTTAGGAATATTATTGTAATATTATGAGAAAACTTCCTATAGTAACTAGAAATGTTTTTCCGATGTTTTTCGCTACCTCACTCATCTCACTTTGATCGCTATTTGCTAGCCAAATTGTTCTCATAGAATTAAAACTTGACTTGAAATAAACTACTTTGCTTCATTATATAAGTGATGAAATTTTTGTAATTTCCATAACTGAAGGCTTCATAATATCCAGTACTGAAGGCGTGATCATTTCTAATAGAAAAAGCTTCATAATCTCTGGTACTTAATGCTCATTAATTTCAACTATTCTAGGTTTCATAAAATCCAGTACTGAAGACGTAATAATTCCTGGTTATAAATATTTGCTGAATAATTTCCAGTAAAAAATATATCTTTAATTATTTCCAGTTATAAATATTTGCTAAATAATTTCCAGTTATAAATATTTGCTTAATAATTCCAAGTTATAAATATTTGTTTAGCAATTTTCAGTTTTTAATATTTGCTAAATAATTTCCAATTATATATATTCGTTTAATAATTTCCAGTAATAAATATTTGCTAAATAATTTCCAGTTATAAATATTTGCTTAATAATTTCCAGTTATCAATAATTGCTTAGGACTAAAATGTCCCCTAATTTCTAGTGCCGAATGTATGCCACGCGCGTGGGGGAGAATGTCTGCCCAGGGGCGAGTGCGGCGGCGGTCGTCACGCGCCGGTCTTCTTGGACGCGGAGTGTGACAAAGAAGAACTAGCGTGCTGCGTCCGCACCTAGACGGCGGAGCTAGCGTGCTGCGTCCGCACCTAGACGGCGGAGCTAGCGTGCTACGTCCGCACCTAGACGGCGGAGCTAGCGTGCTACGTCCGCACCTAGACGGCGGAGCTAGCGTGCTGCGTCCGCACCTAGACGGCGGAACTAGCGTGCCGCGTCCGCACCTACGGAGCGGGCCACGGAAATTAATATCAATCTGAAATAAAAAAATCCACATTAAAATATCAGAGAAGTCTGTTCCGTTTTTACTACACAAGTTTTGGTTAAGTTCTTTTTCTATGCACATGAAATCATTTATTCTTTGACTAAGCTTTTCTTATAAATGGCCTTCGTAGAATAACAAATTTATCCTCAAATTGTTAAACGTTATATAAAAGCTAATACTGCTGTATTTCTTTGGACGTTCAAGATACCCAGGTTTTATCTTCTTAAGGTATAGTGTATAAGTTCCCTGCTTGATGGCATTATTTACTGTTGCATTAAATGGAAAAACAAAGTGAATTGCCTTTCATTTGAAAATTATTGTTATTATACTTATTCTACGAAGCATTTATCATGGCGTCTGGTTCGTTGCGTCAAACATAAGATTAATAGCAAGCGAAAAATAAATAGGCACAAGAAAGGATGGGAATGGATAAAATGACCAAGGAGTAAGCACTAGATTATTAATTAATATCCAAACCTTGTTGTTATTGGGTTGAAATAAACAACTCGTGTATGACCAACACGTTACCCATGTAAGACAATCATTGCTACGATCAATTTTACTCAACTAAATTAATTTTATAAATGAATGCAAGCATTGAAATAATTCTTGTTGTTCACAGCCAAACTTTGTGTATGAGAACGCTGAGCGGAAAAAAACATATTTCAGGTAAAACATATGTTACTCTTGCATTTACTTCAATTATTGATACGTGTAACTCAGCTGATGGCCTGAAAATGTTACCTCAAACGTTTGATTTTATTAGGTACTAACACATCGAACTTAAAATTTTAAACAAACGGGTTTTTATGTTCGTTGAAGTGTTCTCGCTATTATAACGCTTTTATCTGTTTCGTGGAAATTTAGATTTTCACTTCTGATTGTACTAGTATTCTATAAATTTTCTGTAATGATGTAGAACTGACAGTTTAAATACAAGCAGCTAATTGATTGACATGTAGCGGTCTAAGTACTAAGATCTAAGTACATGTAACGGTCTAAGTCCACGCAGCGTTCTAAGTACACGTAGCGGTCTAAGTCGACGCAGCGTTTTAAGTACACGTAGCGGTCTAAGTCCACGCAGCGTTCTAAGTACACGTAGTACGGGTTTTTATGTTCGTTGAAGTGTTCTCGCTATTATAACGCTTAAATCTGTTTCGTGGAAATTTAAATTTTCTCTTCTGATTGTACTAGTATTCTACACATTTTCTGAAATGATGATGGAACTGACATCCGAAAACTGATCAATGAAGATATGGTGAATTTACTGGCGTTTTTACTGCTTTTAAATTCTTAAGCAAGGAGTTACGTGTATCAATAGATTTTCCAGAACGCTATAGAAACTATGGATGATAATAGGACTTTCATTATGGATTATAATAATTATCTATAATTATGGATAATAATTATTATCCATAATTATGAATAATAATAGGACCTCCAATTAAGACCGGGGTACGTGCATCAAAAACTTTTCGTGGAAAAGATACCATGGCATCCATTTTTAAATCTCATTTTTTATTTTAATCGCAGTGAAGCATTAACGGGTTTGTCTTAGACTCTCGCTCGACTATTCCTGTCCAAGAGACATACCATCGTTCTCTTAGTTATTAATTAACTTCAGTTATTTTCTATTAAATCATTGTTTCTGATTATATTTTAATAAAGTGGATTTAATGTGAACGTACTTTCATAACTCGTTTAAGTACACGTAATGGCCTAATTAAGTACACGCAGCGTTTCAAGTACCCGTAGCGGTCCAAGCACACGCAACGTTTTAAGTACACGCAGCGGTCTAAATACGCTTAGCGGCCCAAGGAAACACGCTTCATCTTATGTGCACGTAGCGGTCCATGTACACGTAACGGCCTAACTGCACGTAGCGGCATAGGTACACGTAGCGGCCTAAGTACACGTAGCGGCCTAGGTACAAGTAGCGACGAAAGTACACGTAGTGGCCAAATTGCACCTAGCGGCCGAAGTACATGTAGCGGCCTAAGTACACGTAGCGGCCTAAGTACAAGTAGCGGCCTAAGTACACGTAGCGGCCTAAGTACAAGTAGCGGTTTAAGTACATGTAGCGGCGTATATACAAGTAGCGGCCCTAAGTACAAGTAGCGGCCTAATTACAAGTAGCGGTCTAAGTACATGTAGCGGCCTAAATACACGTAGCGGCCTAAGTACATGTTGCGGTCTAAATACACGTAGCGGTCTAAGTACACGTAGCGGTCTAAGTACACGTAGTGGCCTGTAGTTATAAAATTGAAATGGCAAAAAATGCTGCGTTTAGCGCCCAATAAGGGATTAATGACGTCTCGGACAAATTTACGACCGGTCTCGCGGCCGGTCTCCAAATTCATTCCATTATCACTGAAAGTGGGGACAAGCCGCGAGTCCGGCCGTGAATTTGCCCGAGACTTGGATTAAAGGATGGATTCTCTCTGGATATACGAGCATGTGGGGCCCAGCATGTGGGGGCCAGCATGTGGGGCCCAGCATGTGGGGCCTGGCAAAGTTCCTTCGTTCAAGGTTTTTTGAAAGAATACTGTCAATGGGCCGGCCAGAACGGATGCTAATTCTTTGAGCAATCTGGGATGGAAGCCGTCTGGTCCACATGACTTGTTGGGATTTTGAGCCACCAGGCGCTTGAGAACCTCTTCTTCGTGTATTTCAAAACATGTTAACTTCGAGCCGAATATGTTCAGTTTACTGACCATTTTACTATGGAAGTTGTGTACGAGCGTTTTCTTCACATAATGTAATGTACAAATTCTTTTAAAGTACGTCCAGCGAAGGCAGCATTACATTAGCCTTTCTAGATTGCAGACATATTTTATACCATAATAAAAGATTTGTATTACATGTCTTCATACTGACTATATGCCAAATCGTAATCTGATCAAGTTATAAAATTGAAATGGCTAGAAATGCGGCGTTTAGCGCCTAATAAGGGATTAACGGGTGGATTCTCTGGATATACGAGCATGTATACGAGCACTGAGCAGGGTGGCCCAGTGGTTACAGTTCAGAGTACCAAGATTGGCGCAGAGAAGCGCGGGTTCGATCCCAGCTCTGTGCGCCAGTTTCTGGTCAGAATCGGCGAGGAGGCCGGGCGGTTAAGAATAGCAGAATTGTAGCAGTGAGTTGCGAGTTCGAGACCGTAAAATGCTGTGAATGTTCTGCGATGTTAAGAATCGGCGACAGGCCTACGGCCTAATAAACGCTGAAACCGATATTATTGTTATTATTTATTATTATGTATGGGCCAGCATCGGGGGGCCATCATGTATAGTGTGGCACGGAAACAACATAACTTGCTACAAGGAATATGTCTCCTGGCCTATGGATAGGGGCTGTTTTTATTAGATTAAGACGTATTATTGATTATTAAGATATGTTTATTAAATATTAAGACGCATTATAATATATTAGATATATTTATTGAATATTAAGATGTATTATAATATATTAGATTATTAATTATATATTAAGACGTATTCTTAAATATTGAGATATATTTATTCAGCCAGGTATAACAACTAGATAGAAATTCAATTAATCGAGCACTTGTACGCATTCTGATTATTCTTATCTGATACTACCTACTTATGTTAAAAAGGTTTTGACTTTGTTTTATTTCGATTAATTGATGCGTGAAAATGATGTTTCCTTCATTAAAAACATTCATCAAGGTTTTCCTCATTAAATTTGTTGGTGAAATTAATCAAAATCATTATGCACAATTAGTAATTAAAATGTAAAACACTCTTTCTCATATAGGCTGAAATAAAATTCAACATAAAGAGCATATATACGTTACAGTGAAGTAACTATATTGATTAATTCATTTAGCAGAGTTACAAGAATCCCAATGGTTTAGACCATGGTTGAAATAATACATTATTTATTATTATTATTAAGTATTATTATTTCATAATTCATAAGTATTATTTCAACCATGGTTTAGACAATGAATGCATAATAATAATTATGAGATCACTTTTAAAGTTTCACGGATCACGGTCTAGAAATTTGGGCAACCGAGTCAACTGACACAGATGTTTGTACTTTAAAATAATCGATATAATAATCCAATTTCATTGAACTTATTCGGCTCTGTCATGTTGATCATAAGCAACATCGCCTTTTTTAGCGCATTTTCTCATTTATGGAAAAAAGGCGCTATTGTGCTCGTCATGTCCGTCTGTCAGTCAGTCCATCCGTCTGTCTGTCCGTCCGTGACTTCACGTTTTCGTCGACGAGAAAATGCACTCTCTGTCTCTCACTCCAGTGAGTACTGAGTTATATTTTTTTCTGCATTGACACAGGCCTAGGTTGTCAATAAATTCAATATAGCGAACAAAAAACGCTGCATTACAATGGCACGTATGGAAAGACATATTCGGTGTTAAGTCGTTATCAAAACAAAGCAGATTGACTCAACTTTGTAGGAATACACAAAATTTTTAAATGGGCGGCTTTTTAAAATAAATTGTTAATAATCAGTAAACCTGATTATTACTGAACCTAATCAGTAAATAATCAGTAAACTAGTAAACCTACTGAGCTTAGAATTTTCGTCCTTTTACGAATGAAATTTCTTTATTTATATTCCCAAATCATCCACTAGTATGCTGGATCAAATTAGATGATTAATGTTTCTAAATCACCACTACCACGTAGGATCAAATTAGATTTTTATTGTTACTAAAGCATAAACTTAATAAATGTGGCACAATAATAATAATAATATATTAATAAATAACAAACGCAAAAATTAAATCAATTACCACTATGTGCGATCAAATTATTTTATTAGTGTTACTGAATCACCACAGCCACTTGGAATCAATTACGTGATTATTGCTAATAAATCACCCACCACCACGTGGAATCAAATTAGATGATTATTATTAATAAATCATCCACCATCCCTTGGGATCAAATTAGATGATTATTATTAATAAATGACAACCACCACGTGGGATCAAATTAGATGATTATTATTAATAAATCACTCACAACCCCTTGGGATCAAATAAGATAATTATCGTTAATTAAATCACCCGCCACTATGTGGAATATAATGAGCGTGATGGTTCTGATAAAGCAATATCTGTTACTTATGAGTATCGATTTCGGTAAGACTTATCTATTGACGTCGGAAAATCCACCTGCTTTCTGGAGTAAGAGAAGGAGGCGCCAGCAGCAGGTAGGTAGGCTGTATGCAGGAGAGTATATAAGGCAAGCGGCGGCACCAGCCTTTCTTCACTGTCACCTCGTCCGTCCTGTCAAAGAGACGCTTGGTGAAGGCGGGTCCTCTGTTTCATTATGGCCTTTTTAGTTTTCCAGCTGGTCAGTAGTTATCCATTTCACTTTCTTGATTGAACTTCAGTTTTCTTGCTGTTTGCGTTGAATGTCTCCAAAAACGGCTGTTATTACAATGATCGTTCTTAGCCCTCTACCGCCTGACATGAGTTACCGGAGCAATATTGTCACATGCCTACTTCCCAAAAAGGATACGTTCTAGTGAGCGCAAAATGACTGCANGTGGCATACGGCGGTAGAGGGTTAAAAAGCTGCTCCATGCTATTATTTGCAGGTTTTTGCATTGTCAATGTCACCAGGTGGCGGCAAGTAACATAGTTCAATTATTCCTGTAAAGGAGTAATTCCGAAAAATGTTTGTCTCCACTCAATTGTTAATAAATTCGCAAGGTAGCTGAACATTGTTAAGAGTCCCAAGATTGGCACGCTTAACTGCGGGTTCAAGCCCAGCTAGCTGATAAAAATTAAACTGATATCCGATGATGGTTGTATAGAATTGCCTTTATTTTTTCCATTAGTTTCTGTCTTTATTTTACTACTATTAAACATTTGTAGGTTGTTTATGATTGTCGAATTATGTCGTCCAATTTTTCTTCTATAAGTGCCCCGACATAAATACGCTATATATATATTTCTCGGAAGCAGAATACAAAATAATTGTTCACAATCTTGCTTGCAGAAAGATAAACAACACTGACCGAGAGCCTAGTAGCCAAAGACAAAGATTTTAAACGCTTTTTAGATCGTAGAACTTAATTAAAATTGTGTTAATATTATTTAGGGGAAGACTAAATTAGCTGACAATGTATGAAGACAAGATGGCATTCGTGATCCTCATATTCAGCCTCAGCCTTGCGACACGTGAGTTACAGTAGCGTTAATGAATTCCATTAAATAAATTAAATAATTTATGATCTGAAACTTTAGGAATTTTGCTTTACTTTAGGGAGAGACGCGCGTTTTTATTTCCGGAATTTCTATCATGATTTACGTATTTTATTCATCAAATAGCTGTCTCAAATAGTTGTTCTGAAGATAAATGGCATGATGGTGAGAGTATTCGTAATTCCTATTGAGTTTAGAAATACTAATGCAATTCATTGATGAAATCAAATTAAAAGTACCAATGGTTTTTCACATGATTGTTCCTTTTCCTTTAACCATTGAGAATTCCTGAAAAAAATGGTTAAACGGAAACAATATTCCGAAAAAAATCTTGTTGTTAAAGGTATCATATATGTTGCCTTAATTAATTAAAGAATAAAGATTTACTTATTAAAAAATATAATATTTCCTAACACCTTTTCTATCGAATTATTTCGCTTCCCTGAGCTTAAAATTCTCCTTACCCAACTTAGGAATACTTTGTCCTGAGAAAAAAGTCAATAAATCACACACTATATATTCGGTACCTTGCAAATTGCTTACTACCTACTACCAGTCATTGTTCTTCTGCATTATCCAAATTCATGCTTTCAAGTAGAGCTATATTCTTATTTTTTATTTATTATTTGAATTGTTTTTAATAATGTAAGTAATTTCATCTTACGCAGACGTTACCGCCAAACACTTCAATCCCGAAAGATTTCACCGCACTGCGGCCGACTCTGCGGACGGTCACTACGAGGCTAGTAGTGATTAGGATTTTTATCATCAGGTTAATCACGATTAGTCATTACCAGCAGTTATGCAATCATTGACAATGTGACTATTATCATCAAGTTCGTAAATATTATTATCCTTACCAGTTATGCAACCATTGTAACTATCATCAGCTAGGTTAGTTACGATTATAATCATTACTACCAATAATGCAACCATAGTGACTATCTATTATCATCAGGTTAGTAAAGATTATATGATCCATACCACCAGTTATGCAACCATTGTAACTACTATCATCAAGTTAGTAAAGATTATGATCCTTACCACCAGTTATGCAACCATTGTAACTATTATCACTGTACTAGCATAAGTTAAGCAACAACATCAAAGCAAACTGCGTTTTCGATCATTTTCACCACGACAACAGCAAGTTTTGTCCAAGAGTAGCAAAAATAGAGTTCATCATCTTGAAATTTGGGAAACTTTTAAAAATTTTAAGCAATTAGACTTTGATTCTCGACGTCCAGCATTCAATAATTTTGAGAATAACAAATGCAATGACAGCATATGAGGTTGTCGATAAATATCAAGCAGTTGCTTCGTGTTTTTATAGGTAAATGACTAGCATATTTTATTCAATGAGATAACGTCCGATAACAACCTAATTATTCATCCCTTTTAGGCGACCCACTGATATTATTCGCGTTTATTGTCTTCATGTGAATAAAATTATTAACATAAATGTTTTTATTGCCTTTATTAACTCAATTTATTGCCATCGCAGAACTCGTTCACGGTTCAGATGCCAGAGTGCCTGGAAAAGGGGGGCGTATGCACCTCTTCCTCCAACTGCCCCACCGACCACTACCTCAAGGCCCTCGAGCCTCTCTGCGGCGACCAGATGTCCACCGTGTGTTGCAAACCAACCAGGCCGCTTGAGGAAAATGTTATTCAGGTGGGTGCCTATGAAAACGTTTGCTGAAAACCAACTCGGTCGATCGAGGAAAATGTTATTCAGGTGGGTGCACATGGCAACGTTTGCTGTAAACCAACTCGGTCGATCGAGGACATTGTTATTCAGGTGGGTGCACATAGCAACGTTTGCTGTAAACCAACTCGGTCGATCGAGGACATTGTTCTTCAGGTGGGTGCACATAGCAACGTTTGCTGTAAACCAACTCGGTCGATCGAGGGCATTGTTATTCAGGTGGGTGAACATGGCAACGTTTGCTGAAAACCAACTCGGTCGATCGAGGAAAATGTTATTCAGGTGGGTGCTCATGAACAACGTTTGTTGTAAACCAACTCGGTCGATCGAGGAAAATATTATTCAGGTGGGTGCTCATGACAGCGTTTGCTGTAAAGTGTAAGCCAACTCGGTCGATCGAGGAAATTGTTATTCAGGTGGGTGTCTTTGACTCTTTTGTTATAAACCAACTCAACCCAAACTAGATGTGTCAGTTGGGCATCAGTTCGTCTAATCTGGATTGAGTTGAAAATTGTATCATAGTGCCAACATTTCCCTTTAGTGAGAAGATCTTTTTAGAAGTAGACAGAGGTCGTCATTTTGATTATCTTCAGAGGTGTACAAAATGATTCTTTCATTTATAAATTCCAAATGGCTATTATTAATTATCATAAAATTGAATGACGCTAGTTTTTCCAAAAGCCTTCATGCTGCATAAATTCCACAGGTGGATGCCTGTAACCAGGAAGGAGCCTTTTGCACCTGGTCTTCCATTTGTCCCCCCGAGTCCCGTTTGGACAATCCGCTTCTGTGTGGCGACCAAGCTGATGTCACTTGCTGCACTACGGGACTGGCCAAGAAAAGGACCGTGAAGTTCAGCATGCGTGACAAATTTCTTGAAGTGGAAGCTGATAACAAGACGAGTATCGGAGAGAATGAGATAAATTTTGGCGAAGAAGGGTCAAACTTTCGCCGGAAAAAGAGCATGCTTGGCAAGATAGACACCTATTTTGACAAGCATGATTCCACTAGTGGTGATAGTCTCATCGCTGACGGGTCACAAGGATTAATTACGAAAAGGAAATCTCCAGCTTATCATCAGAAAAGGATTAATAAAGCAGAATTCATTCTGAAAAGATCTTCTGACGCCAACACATTGAGTCATGATTTCAGTTCATCAGAAAAGCCGAATGTTGTTGAAGAAAGCAAGGAAGTTAGGACATCGGGGGCGCTGGGAGTGGCCAAAAGGCAGCCGAGAGGGAACTCGTGTGTCGAGGTCAGGGGATTGTGCGTACGGAAACAGGATTGTCCCGAGGGGGATTTGGTGGGGGATCAGGGGACTTGTGGGGATGAAGGCATCATCGCGTGCTGCAGACTCTCGGCACACACAATTTCAGTGGAAAACTTCCCCTACTTCGGATACCCGAAAGATGGGAAGATCTCAGGCGTTGTGATGCCATCATGAACTTTGATGGGAGATGTTGAGACATCGACGAAATAATTAGTTCGTAGGACTGATGTGCTTGATAAATAATTTAAATTTGGTTCACTAGAAAACTATACCCTATACATTAAATTGATATTTCCTCGCGTTTTATTTATTGATACTGAAAACATGAATATTCATTCAGTAGAAATTTTAGCAGCAAACTTATTACATCGTATATCTTTTTGAATGAACGCTTATATTGACCTGATGATTCTTTACCCGCATCTATGATCTATGTCTTAAATTCGGTTTCTAGGAAGAATATGAGGCTGTAAATTGAAATATAGCTCGAAGACATGTTTGAAAAGGAATTTTCTATGAGTTTGATAGAAAAATTCAAATTAGCAACGTGAAAAATTCACAGATGGTTCTGATTATCTTTTATTGGAACTTGAATAATCACATTTAAAATTTGTAATAAAAAATAATAGCGGTTTCAGCGTTTCTTAGGCCGTAGGCCTGTGGCCGATTCTTAACCACAACTTGTTGCGGTCTCGAACTCGCAACTCTCTGCTACAGTTTTGCTCTGCTTAACCGTCCGGCCTCCTTGCCGATTCTGATCAGAAACTGGCGCACAGAGCTGGGATCGAACCCGCACCTCTCTGCGCCAATCCTGGTACTATTGTAACCACTGGGCCACTCTGCCCAGATATATGTTTTGATTTTCAATTTTTACTTGAATCATTCTTCGAATAATGGTTGAAGATTCCCTGCTGAATTAAAGGGGAAAACTGCTGGTATATTGAATTGACTAGCCTTTGTTCGAGGCATACAGCAATTCACATGATTTCATAACAACATTCATAAGATCTCTGACGGTCGCATTGGCGTTAAAGGAACCGGCAGGTCCAGGGTAGTGATCGCATGGCGGGGATTTGCAAATTTCAATATTTACATCTGTGATCGGACGTTAACATAACATAAGGGTGGACGCCAGTCACGACGTTATTGAATACTAACATGAATAATTGGTGATTAGAAGCACTATTTCACTGCGAGTGGTTAATGAATATGTTTAATAGTGGCAGTGGTCTAATAATATATTGAATCCTAAAAAGTAAGGAATTTTTAGACACTCTACCGGTAACAATGCAAAAAAAAACTATACCATAGGCGACGGGAACTATGGGATTCTAATTAGGGAGAGGAACATTAATAACCGACAGAAGAGATATTAGGCTCACTGCGAATTTTTGACCGTATAACCGTATAACCTGAAATCGAACAAATGATCACGATCTAACAATCACCGTTAGGTCCTGTGTAACACATGTGCAAAGTTTCAGCGATCTTTATTCATTAGTTTGGGAGATATTCTAGGTTCACTGAACCTTGGAGCCGAAAAATTCTACCTAGCTGAAAAAGTGTCTGAAAGATCTTCAGTTCTTATGTATTAGCAATATTTCCAGATAAATTTAATATAAGCTAAAATCATCTTATAATCATTTCCTTCTATAGTGTCTAATAATAATCATTACGTGAAATTTCTTACATGTCTGCTGATGATTTCCTGGACAAAATCGTTCATGTGTTATCACTCTTCCTTTGAGCTAACATCCGCGTCATTCGCATAAGAAGCAAGTGGGACAGAACAGAAACGTATTTTATCAAACCGCTGTCAAAGCGATAAGATACGAACTTGCTGGCAAGCTAGCGTGCTGAACGTCTGTGTACGAGCAGATGAATTTCATTTTTAACCGTTACTTTACACTTTACAGTGTGACAAGTCGGTCAGTGGCCAGTGTGACTACTTATATACGTATTTTGATATAAATCAACATAAATTTTGGTAATACCTAAAAACTGGAAGATGCTAAAGTGACATAAGCCCAATCCGTGCGATGCCACGGTGAGGCTGGCTGCGCAGATTTTATTAAGTTCCTCTGCCATATTTACAATAAGCATTAAAAGGACTGTGTGACGTCATTTACGGCGTATTGAACATGATATCATTATTAGGATAATATTGAGATTTCAAAATTATGGCAGTATATTAGTGGATAAATTATTATTAAAAGACCTAACTGCAGTTATTCATTTATTTACTTACTCGTGAGGAAATCATTTACTCTCAGAACCGCGACTGAATTTTTTGAGCCGTGATTTTATAGATCTGCTAGCCGTGGTTCCATTTATTTGAGCCTTGAATATCATATCCAGGCCATGAAGTCACGAAAAGTGCAAGAATCGGCGACAAGCCACATCAGCCTTGCTCTTCAGCGCCGACGACACAATGTTAATGTTAATGAAAAAACATTTATGAGCCGTATGCTCATTTGCGAAGTCCCGTGCTAGTGTTTCCCCAAAATCTCTAATTTTAATCTAGAATCAGCAACAACAATTTTGTCTTCACTTTAGAGGCAATTAAGCTTTAATAATATACTGTTCAGTGTTCACGACTTTACGTTTTTGTTATAGAAATTACGCAGTTATAATGCAGGAAGTTGTTAGCGTAAAGTCCGTAGGCTAGCTAGGCTACATCCTGTCCTATGCAAGAGCAAACGAAAAGCTTATTATGCAAGATATTTTGACGGCGGTGGGAGTGTGGTACTGAAGTACATAAGTATAAAAATGGAACGAAAATACATTACATTAGAGTCGCGAGATTTTATACCTACCTAGCTTAGGCTAGCTATAGCCTATAGGGCGAATTAGCATTAGGGCCTATAGCTAGTACAGTAGCTACCTACTGAAATGATATGATATTACAGGCTTTACAGCCACAGGCATTTACAAATTACAGCCTACATTCACAAAAAAATTCTACTTTCTCCTGAAATATGTAGGCCCTACATATTTCAGATTCAGGAAAAAGTAGGATTTTTTGTGAGTTTTCCCAACAATATAGATACTCTAGAATCCTACTGTCAAGTGTCAATAGTGTCAAAACCCAGGCCTAGTCTGGAAAAGTCCTATTTTTGTCTGAAATATCGCGGCTCTAATATCATATAATTTCAGTAGGTATGAAATCTCTGTCAGACTGCATTATCATGTGTTCTGTTGCCACTTAAGCTGTCTTAAGTGAAGACAAATATTAGTTTTACTGTTTGACTGTTTTTAGGGTAAAATTATTAGATATTTGGGGTAAGATGTGCATGGACTTTGTAACTAAGTTTGCAGCTCATAAATGGTTTTTCATGGCCAAGATAAGAAATTCACAGCTCAAAGAAATGGAATCACGGCTGGCAAATCCATAAAGCCATGGCGCAAAAAATTCAGTTGCGTCCTGCCAAGTAGATATATTCCATGCCTGCCAAGACCTTGTTTTGGCAATGCCAAGTTTGATTTCACAATAAATAATTGAATATATTTGATCTGCATTCTACACTGAAAGTTAAATGATGTTAAGTTGTTTAAAAAATGTAAGCATCTATTAATACGTGTCTAGATATGAATATTTTCATGTTTCTGCCCTATTTTGTCAATATTGTCTAAATAACTTAACTCCACTTCAAATTCTGAATGATTTCATCTCCCATTGCTAGTTTTCCATCATCTTGTGTCTTTTAGAAAATGTTTGTTGTTGAGAAGTGGCAATTATTGCATAAAATGAATCATTAAGCACTTAGGCATGTACCATGAGGTGTATTAAATAATATAATTTAATAAAAACTTAATTTTTAATTTAAAATTTTGATTAAAATTTTTAATTACTATCTCTTGAAAGTTAATTTAATTTTACAGCTGCAGCCGGTAAAAATGAGCATCAGAGGAATTAAGGTAAAGTTGTCTTTCAGACATCCCAATGGCCATGAACTTGATTTATAAGAAATGGTTGTGAGCTGTATTAACTGAATTTTTAAAAAATAACCAATATAACTTATTAGCATAGTTCAAATAACCCTGCTCATCTATATGTGTGCCACACTCAGGAAGATGTATATAAACAGGGAAATTTCCCGCGCATAAATAGTTTTTTGAAGCCCTAGGTCAGCGCAGTTCGCGCAAAGCAATCTAATTATATTTTCTTCGCGCAGGCGTTTGCGCAAATCACGGTCATCGACTCCACACCGTGCAGCACTCAGCGCGGGCCGCGGAGCCGTCCGACACAGTTCTGATTTGGACACAGTTTTCATTTGGATGGAATGGCAACATCGTCTGTAGATTTCAAGTAACACTGAAGCCAGCATTGCCAGATGGTATATTTCTATACCAGATTTCACAAATCTGGTATTTTCAGAAGGTGTCTGATATGAATATTTTAGATCTGGTATATATGACTAAATCTGGTATTTTTCTGGTATTTTCTGACTTACTGCAAATTTACTGCATTAAGTTCCACCTCTGAAGTTTGAACTTCCTCCAGCGTAGGAGTGGATTATATAGATTGCCTTCAGAGCCTGTCTCTTATACACATCTAGATGTGTATAAGAGACAGNCATAACATAACATAACATAACATAACATAACATAACATAACATAACATAACATAACATAACATAACATAACATAACATAACATAACATAACATAACATAACATAACATAACATAACATAACATAACATGACATAACATAACATAACATAACATAACATACTGTCTCTTATACACATCTTATGCACAAAAGAAAATTCTTTTCAAAGTTATGTAGAAAATTGTATTCGAGGGGATACATTGTTGTTCCCGTATTTATCTGGGTGCGTGGCTGTAATAAAGAAAGGTTTGGTAATATATACGCCTGGAAACGTGCAACAAATCATTGATTATTGTATTGTTATTGTTATTGGTAGCTGAGCTTCCCTAAAAGTTTCAGAGCACTAGCTAGCGGGAAAGTTGGTGAAATATCGATTGCAAGATTTGATCATCACAGACAGACATGAAAGCAAGCTAAGAAAAACGTGGTAATGAAGGGTGGTGGCAGAACTGCAATCTTGATACTCTATTGCAATTCATGCTATGATAACCTACATAACAATTATCATATGATAGTTATAATTTTTGCACATTCAAAGTACACATGACATAACATAACGCACCCAGATTTGGAAACCATAATTGCTCAAATGAAGCAAAGATAAATGACAGACCATTGACTTATATTGCAAATATATATATATTCATATTTTGTATCACATAGTATAATTACGCCCTGTAATTATGCCATATTGACCTAATTTGTATAGTCCATTTACGTGCATTGTTATTAGGTATTGATCATGTCGATTTTGCCGGCCGGTAGGATGTCGGGAATGTAGTCCCAAC